CACCGTCATGTTTATTACCCACCCAACCAATAAAAAATTCCCAAAAAAACAAGGGTTGTACAAACTGAAATCTTTGTAATCATGGACAAAAAAATAAAACAAATTTTCAAAAAAAAAAGAGAGGATATACAAACTCAATTTTTTTTCATGTTGTTTTTAATAAAAATTTTACATGGACAACCCTTGAAGTTTTTTTTCACGACCAACTAAGAAACCAAATCAAACAATAAAAACAAATTAAAAAAAAAAAAAAAATAGTAAAATAGTAAAGGTGTACAAATTCGAATCATTCTGTCATTTTTTGATTGTTATTTTGAATTTTGACATGGACAACCCTTGAAAAAGTGTTTTCACGACGAACTGAGGAACAAAATCTCAGTTATTAAAAAAAATGGTTAATTCGATAAAAAATTCCCAAAAAAAACACCAAGGGTTGTACAAACTGAAATCTGTGTAATCATGGACAACCCTAACAGTGTTTTAACATCAATCCTTTCGTGCTTTGTTTAATTACCAACCTAACCGTCAAAAACCCCCCAAAATTCTCACCTCCTTGACTTTATTCCTCCTCTCCCTGGCCTCCACATCCCTATCTTCCCCATTATTGACCACCGGATACCAATCACTCATCGCCGGCGGCACCGTCACCACCGCTTGCGCCTCCTGGGGCACATCCCCCACTTCCTCCTTGGCCTCGGGCCGCGCCGCCGTCGAGGAACTCCTCAATCCGGGCCTCTCCAACACCTTCAACTCCCGATCCTCGTCCACCTTCGCCCTCAACTTCTCGCGATCGCCGATGACGTGGGGGTCCACCCGGACGTCGTCCTCGTGGCGCAGCAGTCTGGGGGCCTCGTCGGCGAGGTGCGGGGGCGGCGGGATGAGCAGCTCGGGGCCGGCGCGCTTGATCTGGTCGTACATCTTGTACACGGAGTCGGAGGAGTTGCTCCGGAACTCCGGGAGGAAGAAGAAGGTGCCGAAGCAGACGAGGCCGAAGGTGGCGAACACAGAAAAAATGACGTATTTCTCACGGGCGCGGAATGAGCGACGCGAAAAGGGGACGGGGACGCCGTTGATGAAGCGCTGGTACGTGGGGAGGATGCCCGTCGATGTCATCGTCGACGAGGTGCACGATTTCACTGGTAAGAGGTGCGAGAACACGCCATTAATGACGAAGACTGACAGATGGAAGCGAAAAGTCGCGGTAGAAGACTGTTTTAACGGCTTTGGGGACGACATCTGGCGGATTTAGCGAAGATTTGAACCGTTTTTTGTCACATTTTGTTACGTTAGATGAGAGTAGGCAACCAATTAAACTACAATTATGTAACAATTTTGATTTTAATAAAAAAATAAACAAATAAACAAAAAAACAAATTTGTGATAATTATTATGTAACAACAGATGTTAATAAATTAAATTTCTTGAATACAATTGTTTTATTTGCACGTCAAATATAGGCAACCAATTCTACACTTAAAACAAGCTAAAAAACGCACTAAAATCGGTTTTTAATAACATTATTTATTTAATTTTTTTTTTTTAATTAAGTTAATTTATTATTCTGCAAGATTTACAGATTTTTAATTTCATTATTTTTTTCAAGTTATTTTTTTAAGATTTTTTCTGTCATTTGTTTCAATACCTTTTTCAAGACCACCCAGTGTATAATTTTTTTCTTTATTTTTTTTTACTTATTTTATAGTTGTTCGTTTCATTATTCGTTTTCAGTTTCATTTAATTTATCGTTTTTTAGAACTATTTACCCGCTTTATTTTTATTGCTTTTTTTTTCATTTTAAGATTATTGATTTCAACAAAAAAAAATGTTTTCAAAATTTGTTTTTTTTTTAATTTTATTGTTTTTTATTTCAGAATTTTTTTCAGTCGTTGATACTTTTTAAAATTATGTAACAACAAATTTTAATAAATTATATTTCTTGAATACAATTGTTTTATTTGCACGTCAAGTGTAGGCAACTAACTCTACATTAAACATAAGCTAAAAAAGGCACTATTATAGCCCTAAAATTAGTGTTTTAATAACGTTTTTTTTTATTTTTTTTTTTAGAATTAAGTTCATTTATTTTCTTCTCTTCTGCAAGGTTTTTATATTAAAATCCAAAATTTTTGATTTCATATTTTTTTTTCAGGAGTTATTTTGCTAAGTGTAATATTTTTTTAATTTTCTGTTGTTTTTTCAAGATTTTCATGATTTGGTATTTTTTCTGTCATTCGTTTTAACACCTTTTTCAAGACCACTAGCCTTTTATATAATTTTCTCAATTTTTTTTTATTTTTCTCTTCATTTTTTTAGTTATTTTATAGTTGTTCGTTTCATTATTCTTTTTCAGTTTCATTCAATTTATCGTTTTTTCAGAACCCGTAAATGGTTTTTCTTTAACTTTTCGACGATTACTTTTATCGCTTTTTTTTTCGTTTTAAGATTACTGATTTCAACATTCAAAAAAATTGTTTTTAAGATTTAATTTTTTGGTTTTTTCTATTTTTTTGTTATTCATTTCAGAGTTTTTTCAGTTACTGATTCTTTAAAAGCTGTTTTTAAAAATAATTATGTCTTAATATTTTATTTTAATTTTATTTTATTAAATTCATTATGATTTTTAGGAGTGTTTTTGTCACATTTTGTTACGTAAGATGAGAGTAGGTAACCAATTAAACCACAATTATGTAATAATTTTGATTTCAATAAAAAAAACTTGAGAAATAAACAAAAAAACAAACTTGTGACAATTATTATGTAACAAAAAATGTTAATAAATTTTATTTCTTGCATAAAATTGTTTTATTTGAAATACACTTAAAAAATGAGCTAAAAAACACACTTTTATAGCACTAAAATCAATGTTTTAATAACTTTTTTTTTAATTTTTTTCAGAAATAATTTCATTTAGTTTTATTTTTTCTGCAAGGTTTTTATTCTAAAATTCAGAATTTTTGATTTCATCATCTTTTTTCGAAACTTCTTTTGCCGAGTTTTTAATACTCTTACTTTCAATTTTTTTGCAAGACAAGACTCTTTTTTCTTATTTTTTTTATTTTCTTCAGTTATTTCAGTTTCAAAATTTGTTTTAGTTTCCCTTATTCTAGCGTTTTTTTCAGAACCATTTACTTTAACTTTTCAACGATTTTGAGTTTTCAACATTCAAAAAAAATGTTTTCAGGATTTAATTTGTTGACTTTTTTGAAACTTTTTTTATTTGTTTCAAAATTTTGTCGTTATTGATCTTTTTTAAAAGCTTCTTTGAAGATTCAGAATTTCAGAATTATGAAGTTTCAGAATTATTATTTTTAATGTATTTTATAATTTTATTGTTATTTTTAAATTTCAAGGGGTTTTCAAGGTTTTACTCAAGATTTTAACTTGATGTTTTGAAATTTTCTTTTATTTCAGGATTCAACATTATTTCAGAACTGTTTTCAAGATGTAATTTAGATGTTATTACTTTATTTATTTTATGACCTGACTACATAATACTTAGTTTTCAGCATTTATTACAACATATACATTCAGGGTTTTTTCAGAATTTAGTTCTTCTTTTCTCTAACTATTCTACTTTTTCTCTATCCATTTATTTCAGTTATTTCCAATTTTTATTTTCCAATTTATTTTTTCCAGAATTTAATTTGTAGGCTATTTTTGATAATAATCATGTAAAGTTTTCTTCAAGATTAATAATTGTTTTGAAATTTTATTCGAGATTCTAATCCATTTTTCTGTATTTCTAAAAATTATTTTTTTTATATTTTTCAGAGTTTATTATTTTCAAAGTTCACAAGTTTATTGATTTCTGATTTTTTTTCAGGATTTATTTTGTGAAACGAAAAATAGGTGAAAAAGCACCAAACTACTCAAAACTCTTTTATTATAATCACGTAATATAAAACATTACAAAAATCAATCCTATATACAGTGAGATCCAAATAAATTACATTTCACTTTGCCCTCCTTCAAAAACTACCTTTTGGGCTTAAACCTCGACATATAAAACTCGCAATCCGTGCAATACAAGTTGGCCGAGACCACCGCCTTCTTCCTACACAAATTACACTTCGTTTTCCCCGTCGGCACGCTATGATTGGCATTATTAACCACAATGGGCGTGACCACAGCTTTCGGAGTGGGGGATTCAGCCCCACCCTTGGTCCCCGGCTCAAAACTCACACTTTTCCTAAGCAACTGTCTCGGGATTGGCTGATAGGGGGAGTATTCCGGGTGGAGTGGGGGGACACGCTCCTGATACGGGGGGCGTGGCGAAGGCGGGTGTTGGTATATAGGAGGCCGGACGTACTGGTATTGTGGGTAGGGTGGGGGGTTGTAGGCGTAAACTGGGGAGTTTTGCGGGATTCGTTGGTAGGGGGATTGGCGTTGGTAGTAGTACTCTGGGTCAGTGGGCGGAGTTTGACGCGATAGGAGGTTGTCCATAGAGTTGCGACGTACATAAACCGGGCAATCTGATTGGTCGAATTCCATTTCTTGACGTAATGCACGGACTTCCTGTCTAATGGCGGCCGTTTCCGGTTTATTCATCGCTGAGCGAAGGACACGTTCCAGGATCGGGTTTGGGATATAACTGTCATCTTCCTGTTCTTCAGCTGTTGCAACTAAGATGACTTGATCACAAAACGACACACTTTTCTTCTTTCCCAATTTCTTCTCCTCCTCGGGAGGAATATCAAAATCCTCCCGTTTTCGCGCAGTAACCACTCCATTTTGACCCTCAAAAACTTGAATATTCTCGAATTTTGAGGCCAAGTCCTTGACTGAAGTCCCAGTCTCCTGTTTCTTCCTCAAAGCGGCTTGTTTAGCTTGTAATTCCTTCAACCACGTGTCACCGGGTCGTACCTCTGTTGAGGGAGGAGTTGGGGGCGGAGTTGGGGGTTTTAGGTGTTCCTCGAGCGCTGATAGGTCTAGCGGTGGTGGAGGTGGGGGAAACTCCTCACTTGCCTGCCGCGAATGTATGACCGACCCTAAGGGACTGGGGTAGGGGGGGAGGTCAAGGTTCGAAGGGGCACAATCGACCTCGTCTACCCCCTCCTGATGGACATCAGCACGCGTTACCACCAAATTGTGGTAGTATGGGAGGGGCGATGGGCGGTAATACTCCTTGGTACTCAACTGGGAGGTTGTCCGTAAGGGTGGGGGTGGTGGTACTTTCGCCGCGGTGAGGATTTTACCAGCACTACCATGAAAACTCTTCCTCATTAATTTACTCCGTTCCAAATTGGGGTTAGTAAACTCGAGATGACCTTCAGATAAGTACCCACACATGCTAGCCTCGGTGGTACCCTTAAGCCCAACCCCACTATCATCAACAGTGGTACTGGGTTTCTCCCTCTCTTTCTCACTAGTGTCGGTCAAATCGGGCATACTCCGATTTTTCCTCCTGATTAACCCCCCCATGAGGAGTTTTCGTCGAATCTTGTGCTGTTTCTTCGCCTTGACCTCCTTTTTGGGGGGTTCGGGGGCTATAGACAACTCCTTTGTGACCTTATTCCTGTCCTCGGACCTCGACCTCTTCTCCTTGTTCTTCCGGGAGAAGATACTCCGACTCTCCCGACTGGGAGGTTTGTCATACACGACATAATCCTCATCATCTTCAATACTAACAACTTTCTTCTTTTTGGGCAAAGTGGCATAAATCTCGATGTTTTTGACCGGTTTTTCCTCCTTGCTGTTTTGACGGGAGTGGGAGTTTTGGCGGGAGTGTTTCCCCGATCCGGAACTCCCCTCCCGCGTGTGGCGGATTTCAGGAGGAGCATCCTTGGATTGGTTCTGGTTCTGGGTCATTCTGCGATGGAGGCTCCTAGCCCTCATAATACAAGTGTTGTGCTTCATTCGGGCTAAAGTGAGGGTTTGGGGGTTGTTGTAAGGGGCATCCATGGCGGCTCGGGCCTTGGTAGCCGCCGCGTTGCACAGAGCCAAGGCCAAAACAAGGTCATGGTCGTCCTCCAATTGCCTGGATTTGACCAAAAGTTCATCAGCTTCGTCACACAAAACGTCACAACTTTGGGACACTTGAGCCGGTCCTGGATTATAATCCTCTGGGATTTTGGCCAAATGACCCATCTTCATCATGTGCTGGATGGTGGTCATGGTACTACTGTCATTCGATGAGAGGGAGTAAGAGTCGTAGCCCACATCGTAAACCCCACTACTGGTACTACTCGAGGATTCATTCCGAGGATTTGGTTCTGGTACTTTACCCACAAGGTACAAATATGGGTTCTCCATGGTCGTGGAGGAGGAGGAGGAGGCACTGTTCCGGTCACTGGACCAATTCCCGGAATCGCGGGTGCGGGGAATGTTGGGGTAATCCCGGAACAAGCCTTCGGTACCACTCGAGGAACCATTACTCAAGGTTCGGTGAATGTTCCTGTGGGGTTCCGGGTAGAGGTTACTCTGGATTACGGACAGGTTCTGGTACTCGTTGTAGGGTCTTGGGAGTGGCGGTTTTTGACAAGTGGTACCATCAGGGTTCGGGGTTATTGCGCGACGCGTGGTACCAATAACTGGTTTTTCGGGACTTGGGGTTACCGAACGTCGCAAATTTGCCAATTTCTTGGGTTTGTCATAGAATGGTACCACTTGTTTTGGTGCGTTTTCTGTATTGACAGGGGTACCATCCGGGAGAGCGTAGAGGAGAAGGAGGGGTTGGTACCGCCCTTTGCGACACTTATCGACCACTTGGTCCCATCGTGGTCCCACTTCACGGACAGTAGCATCATCGAAATATATCCATACTCGGAGCTTGGTATGGAAAAAGAACGTCGAGTAGTGTTTTCCATAATATGTCACAACCCCCACCAAAGTATGGATGGACGTTTCCGCCCATCTACCATCAATCACACTGTTAAAAACTTCCCCAAGTCGGAGAGTGGTACCAATGGTCGAGAAAACCTCCATTATGTGTTCCAAAGTAGGCCGTTCTGAGTTCCAAACAAGGCCAACTGAGACGATTTCAGGCCGGTTCATTAAAGTTCGACCGATTTGGATAACCGCCCCACACGCACTCTACAAAAATTGGGTTAGTTTGATAAAAACCCAAAATTTGGGTTGAATCTTACCGGACACACCCGAATATCGCCCATACTCCCAGCTTTGCGTAAAAGTTGCCCAAAAGGTTCGATTATGCCTTGGGGTCTTGTCGTCCGCACTTGATACACCAAAGTAGACGTCGACACGTAATGCACCATCTGTAATAAGTGTCAAACCCAAAAAATAAAACTCAACCTTAAAACAAGGTTAGTTTTTACCTGGGTGTAGGAAAGTGGCTCCGACGTCGCCCCACACGAGTTGCATACACTTTGTTCAACTAGAGTCATGGCGAATTTTTGATGGGGGATACAATGGCGGGCATTACACATATCCTCGGCTTCGCCATGGGCAATATGCATATGGATCCTGAGGAGCATATTTTCGAAACATTCAGCGGCATCATCCATAAAACCCAATTGGAAACGCTGCTGGTCGAAGAAACTCTCGGCGAGGGCACGACGCAAGGCATCGGGGGGGAGGGCCGTCTCATTGGAGAATTGCAATTGGGAGAAAAGTTCCTAGAAAAAGTGAAATGTGAAAGTCGGGAAATCCTGCTTGAGTAACGTGTCAAGAAGTGAACAAGGAAGAAATTAGGTTGTTATATAAAACGTAACCTTAAATAATGTAAAAACTAACCCAAAATGCAAAATTGGGTTAGAAGAGTTTGCTAGGCTTTAATTCGATGCGAATAAGATCGTACCTTAAAAATAATAAAAACAAACCCAAATTAGTAAAACTAAACCTAGGTTAATGTTTTAACTCGAAACGTAATAAAAACTAAAATTTTGAAAATCATCAAGCAAAAGCTTGAAACTTAAAATTTTTATTAAATTTATACAATATTGAGTAATAAAAACCTTAAATTTGATATTAAACCCTAATTATGCAAAAACTCCAAAAAATATTTGTCTAACTATCAAAAAGTTGGGGTTTGTTTTATATAAAACGTTGCCTTTAATAATGTAAAACTAACCCAAAAGGCGAAAATGGGTTAAGGTAGTTTGCTGGTGGCTATGCCACTAAGATTGTGTTTTAAAAAATAATAAAAACCAATTTAAATTAGCAAAATTAGACCTAGGTTAATATTTAAACTTGAAACGTAGTAAAATTTGTAATCTAAACCTTTGATAATAATTAAGGTAAGATATAGCAAAAGCTTGCACTTTAAAATGTATAAAAAAATGTCATTAAAATTTCTACAAAATTTGTAATAAAAACCTTAAATTTAAAATTATACCCTAATTACACAAAAACTTTAAAAAATGTTCGTCAAAATATAAATAAAAAAACAACGAAAAAATTGGGGTTTGTTTCATATAAAATGTTGCCTTAAATAATGTAAAACTAACCCAAAATGCAAAAATGGGTAAAGATAGTTTGATGGTTTTTATATTATGCCACTAAAATTGTGCCTTAAAAAATAATAAAAACAAATTTAAATTAGTAAAATTTGACCTAGGTTGATGTTTCAACTTAAAACGTAGTAAAAATCTTCTACAATTTGTAATCTAAAATTTTGATAATAATTGAGGTAAGATATAGCAACAGCTTACACTTTAAAATGTAAAAGAAATCATTAAAATTTCTTAAAATTAATATTACACTCTAATTACACAAAAACTCCAAAAAAATGTTTGTCAAAATATAAACAAAAAAAAACAAGGAAAAAGTTGGGGTTTGTTTAATATAAAGCGTTGCCTTAAATAATGTAAAACGAACCCAAAATGTAATTATAGTTTAGAGTAGTTTGTTGAGATTTAAATTACATGTAAATAAAATCGTGCCTTAAAAGTGATAAAATCAAACCCACATTAGATAAATTAGACCTATGTTAATTTTAAAATGCGAAGCTTACAAATCTGTAAATTAAAACTTCATCACCATTTGTAATGTAATGTATGAAAAATTTTCATCAAAATTTCCAGAATATTTTGTTATAAAAACCTTAAATTTGCTATTAAAAAAAAAAAAAACAAAAAATGTTTTTTTTTTACAAAAAAATGAAAAAGAAAGATGTAAAATGTTAAATTTTGTTTTTAATAAAACGATGCCTTAAACAATATAAAAAATACCAAAAAGTTGTGCCGTAAAATCTATAAATAACTAAACCAAAGTAGTAAAACAAAACCTAGGTAATTGTTAACCTTAAAGTAAACCTTGACTGCGCCTTAATTATTAATAAGCCCGTTACTTATCCATTGATAACAATAACCCATCATCATTTGGAACATGACCCAACCTTGGTTTCTAATTTTGAACCCAATTTTCTCAAGACGAGAGTCAGGAAATACCATACAATGAATCAACAAGCACCCATTACGCTTCCACGAAACCCATAGAACACAAAATCGTGACCATCGACTTCAACCGAACCCAACAAATGCCATAGGTTACAAGCTTTATTCATCAACATATCGAAAATATAGCACGTCATGGGTTATTGTGACACAATTGCGAAAGGTAAGTCGCCAACCAGTCGCAAAACACACCCAGAACGAACTAAATCAATCAATCACACCATTTATAAAACTAAACCCAAAAATTGGGTTGAGTTTTATTCGGCGTAAAAACAAACCCAAAATTTGGGGCACAATTGATAAAAATGTAACTTTGTTAAAATCGAGCCCAAAATTTGGGTTTACAGGTCCATCGAGCATCCTCTAGCTCCCAGGCGCGGTAAGTGGCACATAACGGCATCGGAATCGAGTCAAAAAGGGCGCGCTATCGGAACAAAGAAACTCACTTTAAGCTTCGCCTTCGTTTCACCATCCAAAACACTCTCATTGTCACTTTGACACTTTTTTTCCACCACTTTTAGCTTATTACCGCCCTGTTGGGGCTTTTTATACCGAAATTTGTTGATCATTTTGCGAGATTTTGAGACGAGTGTTGAATTTCATACCACCTTTCACTAGAGTTGGACGGCGACTGCTCGAACCTTCGATAGAACAAGCGAGTGTTGAGGTCGGCGAAGACGTGGGTTAAGAGATTGCAAATAAGGCAGGTAAAGGTAGGTAGAAAACGCACAATTGGGGTAAATTTCCCCGAATTTAGACATTTTACAAGAGTTATTGACTTAAAATTCCACAAAAACACATTTTGCGATTTTTCGGGCGGTGAACGAGCGCAGCGAGCGCAATAACCAATCAAATTATAGTCACGTGACACATTTATTGGTAATTATTGACTCAAAAATATACATTTGACAATTTTTCGAGCGATAACCAATCAGATTGCTGGGTGATAATCACGTGACAAGTCTCTTGAAGCTTAA